ATGGGTAGGACACGGGTAAGAAATTTTTTGTCGGGTCGGGTACGGTACGAAAAATTGTACCTGTGCAGTACTTTAGACAGAATTTGAGTTTATAAAATATGCATGATGATTGTGGGATGTCAATGCTAGGAATGGAATGTGTGTGCGTGTTGGTGTGGGATAGGTGTGTGGATAAAGAAAAGACAACACCTACATCGGTACACCACACAACCAAATACACCCACATCCAAACCTACAGCAACCCACACCACACTCACACCCACACCCTCGGTACATATAGCTGTTTCTTCATTCTAATAATACTCACACCTTATGAAACTGTTCTGGACAGGCATGAAAATGTTTGTCAAACTAACTATAACCTGCTACAACGTCAAGGAAGCAATTATGTCCATGTGTCCACAGTGCTCAGTAATTGAAGCTAGTATACCGCATCACATGAGGGAACAATATATGTCTTTGTTTCCAGCATTTGAAATAGATTACAAATGCAAAGAATCTCTTGAAAATTCATCAGTTCGAGGCACGAAACCCCGTATTATTGTCATCTGTAATGGTGAATGATAGTGGTAGTCGCGTCGATCATTATATCTGAAGGCTAGATAGACAAATATATCAAAATATCTGCCCCAGTCTATTGATCAAATGGAAGACTAGTTCATGTATCTTGCTATATACTTCAACAGTCATTTGCAATCGTGTTTCATACAATAGTTTATAATTATCAGATGTTGTCCGATTTGCGACATCCCATCTTCTTTTATAATGCTTTACAAGTCTTGACCATTCTCTCATTCTACAAAAAGACTCAACTTAGCGAAATAAAAGTTTGAATTTTTGCTTAAAAATATTCTTGCAGCTGTCACCTTTTGTATCAACTCAACCAAATATGCAAAAAATTTGAATGTAGAGACTTTCAACATCATTGATTCAAATGTGTACATCAGCTTTTTTTGACTTGGTTTTTCTCTCTGACAGAGATAACGGAAAGTCGACAAATTATTTTACTTGTGATTAAAGAATATTGAGTAACATTTCATGAATTTATCACTAGAGATCAAACCTTCAAGGTCGATCGAAAGAAAGCTGCTCATTGCATTCGCAAGAATGCAATATAATCGTATAAAATGAGTAAATGAAAAAAATCACCATTCATTATCAGATGAATCCTCCATAGTCATGTTTGTTTAGATCAGAACCAGTATTATAGCACTAATTAGAAATATCGAATACAGTCGCAGAAAATCAAGCAATAGGGATTCATTTTAAAGTTTTTTTTTCATAGGTTCAAGTCATACAATCCAAAGGTGTTTATCATGAAAGTTTTCCATACAGAATCGCATACAAAAGAAACTATTCGAACTCTTTAAAGTAAATAGCCGAGAGAGATGCAGTGATCTTTTCATGTTCAGGAACAAGTATTGATTTGAACTTTTCGATTATTAGTGCGTTAGTACTTATGCATCAAGTCTTCGCACTTTTCGAGCTTTTTAAAAGCAGTATGTGACCAGTACGATATTGTCACTGACTATCAGACACCAATTCAAGTTCATAATATTTGATCAAAATTATAATAAAAGTTAATGTCAGTGGAAGGAGAAGCGCGTCCCGTCAACATAAAAGGGTCATCACACCAAAGTCTAACATATTTATCACGCAGTTCTAAACAACTAGTCTTTTATTTATTATGAAATGGTTGGTTTCTACAATAACTAAGAATATATCACAACAAAAGCACGAATAATGTTCAGTTATTAGCAAGTTAATTTATATATATAGATAGATAGTTAAAAGTAGTGCTAAAACATCTGTTTCATACCTAAAACAGAAGAAAGAAAAGTATTGCCAATTATCGATCAGTTCAGTTTTAAACTATATACTTCGAATGTTATTGATGTAGTATAATGAACATGACTACTATATTAAATAGTTAAGATAATCGATGGGATAGAAATCCAACATTAATCAAATATTCAATTGATTTCATTAAATCTTCTTCTGTTACTTCGAACCAATTCAAATTACATTTCTGCTCGAGAAATTGTTTAGTCAGTTCTACTCGAACACCGGATTTTTCTGGTTGAACATGTCCACTTGTAAATATCATTGAAGCAATTTGGTCTCTCATTCGCCATGCTAGACTACTCTCAGACAGATTTTTCAATACATATTGTTTCCAATTGTTCTGTTCGATTTTTTTCTTTATGACACCAGGTAATCGTTGAATAAGTGCATTATGTAGATATGAAATACGCAATCCATTTCCATAGAAATTAAAACAATATCCACTACTATCAGGATGCATAGCTAAAGCAACGATGGCCGTGGAACAATAATCTACTGGTACAGAATGCAATTGTAAATCAGCATTTTCAACCATACATCCCATTTCAACTTCGGCAAGTAGAAGCAAATTGATGAAATCGAAAAGATTGCTATAACCTGTTCGAGTATCAGCTGATATCGTACAAGGCCGAATAACGATAATATCGGCACCCAAATTTGAAGCAGTATGTAATAATTGCTCAACAACAGCCTTTGATTGTCCATAGCCGTCTTTAAGATTCATATCATTCGATGTTAATGTTATCCATCCATTTGAATCTTCTTTAAAATCGATCGTGGCAGGCAATGAAGCTGTAGAACTTGTGTAAACAAGTCGAGCATTCGATTTTACTGCAAATTCCAAACAATTCAATGTACCAAACACGTTCGATTCTTTCAAAGCCTTATAGGGTACTTGTAAATTAACAATGGATGCATTATGATAAATCAAACCAATTTGTTGTGTTAGTTCATTGTAGAGATCTTGAGTTAAGCCCAGATTTTCTTTTGAAACAT